TAATAGTGCGATTATATGATAAAATTTCTAATTGCAGACTTATTATACAAATATATGTGTAAAATGTTAAAAACATCACGGAACTAATACATCAGGAATAAGCTTATAAGAATGCTAGAAACATTTAAGAAATGCTTTGTAATTCAAATAAATAACTCGCGTTCATTCGCAGAAAGAATTTCTGAATCATGAACTATTGATATTTTGATAAATATAATCTTTCAGATACGATGATTAAATATTGTATGTACATTATTTATACCGAAAGCATAAACTTTCAGTAGAATGTTAGAGAATTTATGTCAAAAAATTGTCACGAATAAAAACATCTCGACAATGGCGAGAAGCCGTGTATGTACTTTCGCATTTATTATTCACACGCGTATCCCAATACGCTACTAAATAAAATTTATACCGATGTGAATTATTAGAGTTATCAAAACAACAATAACTATATATATGTGATGTGACGGATGGTATTATTCTGGAAGTCATACTGTCTAGTCCCCTGCCATTCATAAATATAGATACTACCAGCATTAACGAGATAAAATTTACTTCACAGTTCAACATGTTTACCGAACAAGTATCGCAACAAAAAAAATAGTCCCGCGTCATAAAAGGGTAATCGATCTAACGCATTTTATCGTTTCTCCATGCGACGCGACGATCACTTCCATTCATAAGCGCAACGAACTATGATAAAATTAAATGTGCACTTAGAAGCGTAAACATTGCGAGTACGATAGTGAGACAGAGAAGTTAATTGATCAAGACTTCATTTCTTACTCAATGCAACGCATTTACTTATTTTTTTTAATATGGTGACAGACGAAATTAGACAATTGGATAAAAATTCTTCTAATTTTAATAACCAAATTTATCAAAAACTGCATACTTTCGGAGGACTGTTATTACATTTTGAACCTCATTTCAACTTTATTTATTTCGTTAATAAAAATTTTGTGGAGTTTGTCGAATCTCTGTAAATAATACAGCCAAAATAATACGACAAAAATAGAACAAAAATATCTTATAACAGCGTTCATGAAATTTCCTATGGATACAATAAGTACTTTATTTAAGTTAAGAGAAGATAGATTTTTCCACTAACCTCAATCGTTCCGACCTCATTATTCGATCTGCTCAAATGGACGATGCACATACGTTTCTCTCTGATTTTCCATTACCGCTACGCACAGACTTTTGTCCCTAATCTCTCAACGTCTTCCGTCATGAAAAAATATCTCTCGCCGTAATTTTCTTCGCGAAAGAAATCTTTCCCTCATTACTTCACACGTTGCGCTAAATTATCAATCGGTCGCGAATACGGTGTTCAAAAAAATTCATGCGCTTACATGACTCTAAACTGCCAGGAGACTAGAAACTACAAAGAAATGCTAAACTATAAAGTCATTCTAAAGCTATAAAGGCACGATAAAAATATATTACAACCTTTATCTGGAAAATAAAGAATCGATATGACCGCATTGAATTTCTATTCATACAAAATTATCCATCTTAAAAGATAGAAAGGTAATTTCTATAATGAAAAAAAATACTATAAGATTAAAACTAAAATATCAGAATATTTCGTGCGCTACTTGTGTGGATTATATAAAATCCGACTTGTTTCTCGGCCAAGTGGAGCAAACCTAATTCCGCGATTTTCTGAAGCAGAAACAGGATGGTTTTCTACACGTACGTAAAAAAAAGTAATGAAAGTATCAATTGTCGAAATGCATTTTATCTCTTCGTGAGTTACGTGAAAGATCTGACAAATGGTAAAATATGTATAATAAGTTGATACAAAATCACGTAACAAGTACGGGTGTGTATCGCGTGCCGTGCGATCGCGGGATTATTTGTCTCTCAGTATCACGTGCAATCACGCGAAATTTTATCCGGCAAAAGCGCTTCAATATTTATCGAACATGAGAGCATGAACAGTCCCCGGAGACAGCTTTGCACATCGTTACAATCCTCGCGCCGTTGCACCTTCAAACGTCACGGTCGAGTTTAACGTTTCGTCGAAACAAACGAATACAAACCCAGCGACAACAGCCTCGAAATTCTCTCTTTCTTTTTTGGCGTCTGCGAGCCGACGAGGCATAGCAGCGGGATGTATTGTTCTCATCCTCCCGTAGTGCATTACGTAAATGAGAATAGTGCCTCGTACATTCTATCTAATTCACGCACGAGTCACAGCAACGATGTCGTCCCTTCAACTCCTAATCACCGCCGTAAAGTGCTCTTTTCTAGCGCAAAGCAGCATTTGCAACTTAAGAGAAAATAAATTAAGAGCATAAAAGCTTCTCTCGTATACTGTAAAAGTAGTATCTTACAGACATGATGTAAATGAATAATTCGTCGATTTTGCTTATTAGTGAAAGTTGAAAAAAGTTGGAAGAAACTTAATGTATATCAAGAATAACAAAATATAAAAATTATCGAGCTTTGATAATTCTATTCGATAATCATTTATACATTTCACAATATTAATTTTTGCAAAAAAAAATTTTTTAAATTGCATTCTTCAGTAAAAAATAATGAGTATCGAGATCGTAACTTCAATGGAAAGTTTCTGTGTCATAAACGATTGCCCCAGATTCTAAAATTTAAGGAAGACAATTTACGTTTGTTTGTTCCAAGTCCGTGGACGGTTTTAGGTCACGTCCAAAAATTCAGCGTTCACACATCAGATGATATTCGCGTTAAAATTTTTCTCTCTTCCCTGTTCTACATTTGCACGTATATATATATTGCAATTTGTAAGTGATATTAAAATACATTTAATATTGAAATTTATGTCATTATGTAAGTATCAAATTATTCATACAAATCAAAATCTAATTAAAAATTAATACGTGAAAATTATGAAATCTAAACAAACGATATTAAAGAAAAATTATCAGTAAAATTGCAATCAGATTTTAAGTAGATTATTTTCAACTTATTTGCAATTTTCCTGAAAACTATATTTTCAAATTGGAATTGTATAAAAGTGTAAAATTATTATACCGATTATGAATGCCGAACAATGTTTGAATGCAAAATTTCTCTTGTTTATTTTGTCATTGTAACTCCATTAAATATTGTAATACCTTTGAAATTTTCAATATTGAAAATGTTATAAAAAAATTAAAAAATGATCTGTCAATTACATTGCATTCGATCACGTTGCATTGGCTATTACGTTTAATATTAAACAGAACAGTTCGTGCACTTAGATCGAGTGCTCTCTTTTAAGAGTTTCATTCTTTCAACAGTAAGAACCGGTTGAAGATACAATAATCGAGCATCATTATCAATAGCATGTCTATCACAAAGCTATCACTTGAAAACCATTCTCAAAAGTAGCAACTTTCAGAAAGACACGTTTTAGTTAATGATTGCCAGATGTCAAGATGTATCTGCATTTTGTACGGAATGATTTCTACACAAGATCGTGACTCGTATAACCCAATTCGCCGATATCTCGCGGCCTCGAAGATACCATCATTATATTCAATTACAGAGGTAGTTGCATATACGCGCTTACATGGCCGGCCACCTGCTGTTCCGCGAATAGTTGCGGTTTATTCAAGTAAGTTTCATACTTCCTTGA